AGAGCTCAATAAAAGAGACAAAACCCCTGCTTGGGGCTCTGGTCTCCTCCTGGACATTAGCCTCTCTCATATCCAATTCTGCATCTGCTCTCTTGCTGGACAAGAGAGAACTCCAGACTCATAGTCTGTGACAATCCAGCAATTCCAATTCTGTGTATTTATCCAAAGAAATGAAAAAACGAACTTGAGAAGATACATATGCCCCCATGTTCACTGCAGGATTATTTATAATAGCCAAGACATGGAAGCAACCTAAATGCCCACTGATAGATGAATGGATGAAGAAAATGTCTTCCTTCCTTCCTTCCTTCCTTCTTTCCTCCCTCCCTCCCTTCCTTCCTTCCTTTCTTTCTTTCTCTCCCCCCCCCCCACCCCACACACACAATGGAATATTATTCAGTCATAAAAAAAGAAGGAAATCTTGACATTTGTTACAACAAGGATGAACCTTGAGGGTATTAGGCTAAGTGAAATAAGTCAGAGAAAGGCAAACACCCTATGATCTCACTTACTTCTATGTGGAGTCTTAAAAAAACAAAAAAGCTCATATATATAGGGAACAGATTGGTGGCTGCCAGAAGTAAGGGGGGGGGGGGTGGACAAAATGGGTGAAGTGCATCAAAAGATACAAATTTCCAGATATAAAATAAATAAGTCATGGAGATGTAATGTACAGCATGGTGACTATAATTAATAATAATCTATTACATATGTGAAAGTTGTTAAGAGAGTAAATCTTGCAAGTTCTGATCATAAGAAAAATAATTTTGTAGCTATGGTGAGATTTTAATTACATTTTGCAATATATACAATACTAAATCGTTATGTTTTATACCTGAAATTAATATATGTCCATTAAAAAAATTATTATCTGATTCTTGGGGTGCCTGGGTGGCTCAGTTGGTTAAATGTTCGTGAGTTCAAGTCCTGCATCAGACTCCATGCTAACAGTACGGAGCATGTTTGGGATTCTCTCTCCCCCATTCTCTTTCTGCCCCTCCCCACTAGTGCACTCTCTCTTTCTCTCAAAATAAGAGTTATATATATAAATACATATATATTATAAAAATACATATATAATATATATGTATTTATTAAATTTTATATATTTTTATTATATAAATACATATTATATAAATACATATATAATACATACATATATATATGTATTTATACACACACAAACACACACATACACACACTGACCCCCAGAATTCAATGAGAATTCAAACTCTTACTAGTTCTCCTTTTTTTTAATAGTAATAGGGCGTCCGGGTGGCTCAGTCGGTTAAGCATCAGGTCATGATCTCACAGTTTATGAGTCGAGCCCTGCGTCCAGCTCTTTGCTGACAGCTCAGAGTCTGGAGTCTGCTTCGGAATCTGTGTCTCCCTCTGTCTATGTCCCTCCCCTGATCATGCTCTCTATCTCTCTCTCTCTCAAAAATAAAATAAAAAATTACTGTTTATTTATATAGGTTCAGTAGGAATCTGTTCCCCTTCTTATAGTTTGTACCTCTTTCATAATTGATTGAACAAATCAACTATGCAACCAAGTACTTATCTGAAGAACATATTTGAGAACTGGATTTTAGGTATGACAACTCGTTTTAAGGAACAAAGGCTGGCTGCAGTTATGGAACCAAAGCCTATAATAAAGCCAGTGAAGTAAAGGATTAAAACTTCTCAGGTTTGGGATATTGTCATGGGTTGAATTTGTCTCCTCAAAATTCACATGTTGAAGTCCTAAACCGAAGCACCTCAGGATGTGACTTGTTCAGAAACAGGATCATTGCAGATGTAATAAGCTAAGTCAAGGTCATTCTATGTATGGTGAGCCCCTAATACAAAATGACTGATGTCCTTACAAAAGGAGAAAATGTGGACACAGATCCACATGGAGAGAGAACGCCATGTGAAGATGAAGGCGGGTATCTACTACTAACCAAGAAATGCCAAAGATTGCAGCAAACCACCACAAGTCAGGAGAGACACATGGAACACAGTCTCCTTTACAGCACTCAGAAGAAATTAACCCTGACATGTTTATCTTGGACTGCTAGCCTCCAGAACTGAGTCAATAAATTTGTGTTGTTCAAGACATCCAGTTTGTGATATATTGTTACAGCAGCCCTAGGAAACTAATGTAGTTGTCCAAACTATATACATTCTAAAGAAAGATCTTCCCTGGCCTATACCAAGTTCCAAATCTGGAATATTCTGTTAACAATGTTGTTGTTTACCTGTGATCTTAAGGTCCCATTAGATAGTTTATGCTAACAATGTGATTTAGGTGGGGGCCATGGGCTTCACCTCTGGAGGGGCTGAGAAAATTAAATTCACATTTAACTAGTTTTTATCCTACACAACTTTAGTACATTACAAAATAATTATCAACCATTATATATATTATATACAATACATACATATAATTTGTGATAAAATGTACATCAAATTTACCATTTTAACTGTTTAAAATGTACAATTCAGTGGCATTAAATACATTCAAAAAGTAACTATCACCATTATTCATTTCCATAAAGTTTTTATCAACCCAAACAGGAACTCTGCACTCATTAAACAACTCCTTGTTCTCCCCTCCCCCCAGTCCCTGGTAACCACAATTCTACTTTCTGTCTCTATACCTTTGACTATTGTTGTAGGTACCTCATTTAAGAGGTGTCACTTGATATATTGTCCTTCTGTGTCTGGCTCTTTTGAGTGAGCATAACATTTGCAAGACTCTTCCATGTTGTAGCATGTATCAAAATTCCATTCCTTTTCATGGCTAATATTCAATTATACACATACACCACATTTTTTTCATCCATTCATCTGTTGATGGGACACCTGAGTTCTTTGTACCTTTTGTCTACGGTCAATCAACAATGTTTTGATGAAACGAAGCAAAACAAGTAATTTTAAAATTCCATTTCCTTTCCCATTTGAATGCAAATAATCTCAAGGTACACAGTTTCAAAGATAACAAAATGCATCCCTAAGTGACTAAACTTTACAAATACATGATTTCCTTACAATATCCATCCTGCTTTAAATTATATAATCTCTTTATTATGTTATTAACAGTGCCTTTTGGGTAAGAAACTGATATAATAAAACTAACATGCCACTAAGGACACAAGAACAGTATTACTAAAATAAATGCACGTCCTAAACCTAAGAGTAACTAGAAGAAAATGAAGCCATATACTAAATACAAAATCAAACAAAAACAAGAAAAAATAGTATGATATCCTGACCTTTGCTAAATGAAAGTGTAACTGATAGCCTTTTAGTTACTAAAAAATAAATACATAAAAAAGAATCTTCAAGGCCATTCATAAAAAGTTATGGACCTTTTCAAATATCAACCTTTACAGTATGCTCATCGCTGAATAAAATATTGAGAGACACAAGTCTTACAACTCTAAGAAAAATCCCAAAGAAAATCAGATAAAATGAACAAGAACAAAATTCTGAGAAACAGTTTAGGATAGTAAAGGAAATGTATCTATTTTAAAAAAGCACATTTTAGGGGCACCTGGGTGGCTCAGTCGGTTAAGCATCCGACTTCAGCTCAGGTCATGATCTCGCAGTTCATGAGTTCCAGCCCCATGTCAGGCTCTGTGCTGACAGCTCGGAGCCTAGAGCCTGCTTCGGATTCTGGGTCTCCCTCTCTCTCTGTCCCTCCCTTGCTTGTGCTCGGTCTCTGTCTCTCTCTCTCAAAAATAAACATTAAAAACATTAATTCAAATATTTCAAACTCTTTAGCAAATAAATTAACACCAATGAAAAAATAACCAGGTCCACTAAAAAAAATAATAGAAAATAAAAATAAATCAAAGACTTGGTTAAAGCCATAGGGATACAGAAGCAAATTTAAAAATCTTATATATATTTTTTTTAACATTTATTCATTTTTGAGAGACAAGAGTGTGAGTGGGCGAGGGGCAGAGGGAGAGGAAGGCACAGAATGTGATGCAGGCTCCAGGCTCTGAGCTGTCAGCAACAGAACCCAACACAGGGATTGAACTCACGGACCGCAAGATCATGACTTGAGCTGAAGTCAGACATTTAACTGACTGAGACACCCAGGCACCCTGCAAATTTAAAAATTTCAATACTTTGAATAGGTAATATATTCATATGATCCAAATTTCAAAAAAACAGGAAATATTATATATTTTAAAGTCCAAAATAAATTGAAAGCAGAATCTTCAAGAGATATTTGTACACCCATGTTTACAGTGGCATGATTCACAATAGTAACAAAAGGCAGAAATAATCCAAGTGTCTATCAACAGATGAACAGATAAACAAAATGTGGTATATATGTACAATAAAATGTTATTCAGCCTTAAAAAGGAAGGAAATTCTGACACATGCTACAACATGGATAAACTTTAATGACATTATGCTAAGTTTATGAAATAGCCAGTCACAAAAAGACAAATAGTGTGATTCCACTTACATGATGTACCCAGAGTCAAGTCAAATACACAGAGACAAAATGCAGAACAGTGTCTGCCAGCTATCGGGGGGAGTAAATGCAGACTTGCTGTTTAATGAATACAGAGTTCTAATTTTGCAAGATGAAAAGAGTTCTGGAGACCGGTTGCACAACAATGTTAATGTACTGAACACTACTGAACTGTACATCTTAAATGGCTAAATTCATAAATTTTGAATAATGTCTATTCTGCCACAATTAAAAATAAAAAAACACCCCTTCCCACCGGCATCCAGCCACCACCCAATTCCCACATGCCTAGCCCTCTGAAACCACTTTTACTACTTTATTTACCATGAGTTTCCTTATGCATACATAAGCAAGTATAAACAAACTAAGCAAATATGTACACTGTTCTATATCTTGCTATTTTCATTAAACAATGTATCTTACAATTCTTTCATTCAAATGTAGAAAACTTCATCATTTAAGAGCAGCATTTTAACAAATAACTTTAATGTGTATAGCAAAGCTTTAAAATAACAGAACTTACCAATATCTGGTGGACACTGCCCATTATAAGGGAACCAATTTCCTTTCACAGTGAAAGGACTTTTCCTGTTGCTTGTTGAACCAGTTCCCAGCTGCCCGTTACCACCAAGTCCAAAAGAATAGATTCGTCCTGATGAAGGAACAAAAGCAGAAGTGTGCTGCCTAGAGTAAAATGATAGAAAATCTCAGACTTAATGTTACCTTCCAAACAATTTACATTTAGAAAAGCTTAACAAATATTAACTGATGATTTTTCTTTTTAAAAATACATTAACAAAACTATTATACTTCTTAAATTGTCTATACATAATATTAAAAGTCTTACTGTATATTCAATGAATTCTGTACCACACATGTAGGCTGCATTAACATGACCCAGAAAATTTCCACAAATGTCCAAATTTAAAAAGGCCCAGATCTATACTAGAATCCCTTATAAAAGATGATTCAGCACAAGAGGTAGCATCTAACTAGGATGTCCAAGTTAAGTTCTCCCCTTCCCTTCCCTGTAACATTCTAGCCTGAAGCTTTTCTATGAGGGTCCACCAGGGCACCAATCAAAAATTTTACAATAAGAAACGGGCAAGTAATCCACTACCAATCTTCTGATTGGTGTGTGTGTGTGTGTGTGTAATAAAATAATAAAACAAAGCTTCCTTTCTCTTCTAAAGAAAGTGACCTTACATATACATATGCACCCAGACTCCTTTGGAAGTGGCAGAGGGGAAGCAAACCTTGGAAACTGAAGATCTGATGCTGAAGAAAACCCACTACTCAGTGAACCTGATGTTTCACCACTGTGCATTCAGGAATGGGTTAAAGAGGATAATCCAGCTCAGGCCTTGTGTTCCTCAACTTGTTTTATGGCTTCCATCATGTCTGGCAAATTCTTAAGTATCTTTTCTATAAATATTGTTTGTCTCATATTTATTCAATTATTTTCTCCTTGATAGTGTTACATAAATGTTGCACCTTCCCAATATATCCTACCAGTCTCTTAATCTCTCTTTTATATCCATGCCCCTTGTGAGTAATTTCTCTGGATCTGTTTTTCAAATCACTACTTTTCTCTTTAGCAGTGTGTCCAACCTGCTGTTTTAATTACTCACTGAATTTTAAGTTTCAATGACTACGTCTTATCTCATTTCTGAAGTTCCTTCCCCCTCCCAAATCTGCCAACCTGTTATTTCATTTAAAAACTGTTATACATTGTGAAACTTAATACATACACACCAACCCAGGACTACTTTGACAAGCCCCAAACCCACCTTATGGCAACCCTGTGATTACAAATTCTCAGAGGAGATTCAAATCAGAAACGAGACCAAGGACAGAAAAGTCTCCTTATAAGCAAGGGAATATTTCATTGTGAATTCTTTCCACGATGTGGTTTTATTGGGAGGACATGGTTTCTCAGGCCTCACTAAGGCTTCACTAATGCTTCTATCAGCTCTTAGGCCTCATCTCCTGTCCCAAACTCCTTTGCCCTCTATGGTATACTGTTTATCAAAAAAGCCAAAAGTATTCCTCTCCCTATACCCATTATGCTTATAATATGACTTCTGTGGCTATTCCCACCAAGATGGGGAATCTATTTCTCCATGTCTTAAATCTGATATTATGCCTTACAAGTGGCTTTGAATTCTTTCTCCCTCTCTCTTTAGGAACCCTGTTCTACTATCAGGAGACTAACCCAAAATAAGTGTTTGAAGAATGACATACAACCTGGGCCAGAAACAAGCTGTCCCAGCTAAGGCCATGCCAACTACCCAAACCCTAGCCAGATAACCAGCTGATGAACTGAGTCCAGCTAAGATGAGAACTGGCCAGCTGAGCCTAACTCAAATTACTGAACCAAAGAACTATTAGCAAAATAAAAAACTGTTTTAAGCCACTGAGTTTTGGGGTGTTTTTTTTAGCAATATAAGCTAATATATTACCTACATTTGCAAATTCTTTCAGAGCACCTCCAAAGTCAGTTCAAACAAACAGCTATGGTTTCTAGATTTGTTTTTGCCCTGTGGCGTTATTTAAAAGGTTTTTTGATTCGAAAGGGCTTTCAAGTTATCTAGTCTATCATATTACTGAAAAACTAAGTAGAATCTAACAACCATTTTACCTTTGAGGCAAGGGCAATCAAAATTTTTTAATCAAGGGTACTCTTTTAACAAATGAAATGTTAAATGGAATCCTAGCATATAAAATAGATTAACTGTTCCAGTCAAAGGGTTTCACATTGCCCAGTCTGCCTCTTTTAGGACTGTGACATCTCAAAGGAACATACAGCTTAAAAATTACTGCAATCCTGGTTCATTAAAGTCCTCCTCAAAATGGTCTACTAAAGTAGTGGTTCTTAAACCTAACTGCATAATGGAATCACCTAGGGATTATGCTAGGCAACAATATACATTTCTTTGGGGGGGGGGGGGGCAAGTGAGCAAGGGGCAGAGAGAGAGAGAGAGAGAGAGAGAGAGAGAGAGAGAGAGAGAGAGAGAGAGAAAATATCCCATGAGGGCGGAGAGGGGGGTGGTTAGGAGAGAGAGAGAGAAGTGGGGCTTGAACTCAAGAACCATGAGATAGTAACCTGAGCTGAAGTCAGATGCTTACCCAACTGAGCCATCCAGGTGCCCCAACAATATACATTTCTAAAAACTCTCCAAAAGATAACAGCATGAAGTCAGAATTGAGAGTTACTAAATAAACATAATAATCCTAAATTCTAGATTTGATATAATAGCTCAAAAACATTATAATATTATACCACTGGAATTTGAACCTTTTGTTTTTGGATCATCTCCTTGATGGATTCACATTTCTTATGTTTCTCATCTGCTTCCTTCAGGAGGCTTTTGACAATTATTCGATAAGGAAATTAATACATCTTATTGTACCAACTACCTGGAAGTCAAACTGGTCAGGATACCATATGCCTACCTACATTCCCCACATAGGTAAGTCTTTGTATCTCAATCAATATAAAACTGAAAATTCTTCCCCAACACAATAAACATATTAAATTTCTAGAAAGAATTGAGTTCACAAAACTAAAAGTAACTATTCAAATAATCTTACCTGTTAACAATTACAAAATTAGATAACATTATTTTGAAATATTGTTTTATAGTCTTTTAATGGATTATGCATGAAGATAAACAAGAATAGATGAACTCTCTAAACTTCAGGCAACATATATTCATGTATAACTTCAGCAGTACAAATAAGGTTTGATAATAAGCACTCCTGGCTCATATATATGTTGAGTTTTGATTTACTTTTTATGATAAAGTCTAATTCATACATTGGAAAAGGAAAGGAAGGCTTTATCAAATCATTCGCATAATTTTTCAAATACATAACCAAGCACACAAAACTGGGCATACAAAGAAACAGGGCACCATGAACAAAATTTAACAGAAAAAAGAAACAGAAATAGATCCTAAAGATTTCAGACGTTGGAATTATCAAACACAAGAATCTAGAACAACCATGTTTAATAATTTTTTAGCGTCCAAGAAATAAAAGCCAAACTTGAAAATGGACAACTGGAAACACTAAAGAAAAAAAAATTCAGATTTTAAAAAGAACCTGTAAGAATACTAGAACTAAAAAATCCAAAATAACTGAAATCAAGATCTTGAACGACAGATTTAATGAAAAATAGATACAGCATAAGAATAATGGGCTGAAATATAAATAATAAAAACAATCAGGAAAGCAGCAAAGAGGGTCAAAAATGTGGAAAATAAAGAATAAAGCTACAAGGCAGAGTATGAAGATTCAATATACATCCAATCAGAGTTCCATGAAGAAAGGAGAAGCTATGTCTAAACAGATAATAGCTTTGAATCCCCCATAACTGATCAAAGGTATTATTCCAGACTCAAGAAGCCCCATAGGAAAATGAGGAAATCAGACCCTGAAAAATGAAAGCAAAACTGGAAAAAGATTTAAAAAGAAACACAACAGAGGCTCCTGGGCGGCTCAGTCGGTTAAGCGTCTGACTTCGGCTCAGGTCACCATCTCACAGTTCATGAGTTCGAGCCCCGCATCGGGCTCTGTGCTGACAGCTCAGAGACTGGAGCCTACTTTGGATTCTGTGTCTTCCTCTTTCTCTGCCCCTCCCCTACTCATGCTGTCTCTCCATCTCTCAAAAATAAATAAACATTTAAAATTAAAAAAAAAAGAAACATAATACCTTCAAAGGAGCAACATACTAATAGCTGGCTTCTCAATAAGCAAAGCCAAAAGACAATAGAATGGTATCTTCAAAGCACTGAAAGTAATTACCAAGCTAGAATTCCATCATTGCCAACATCATTAAAGAATTAAAGTGAAATATGGGAGGCCTGGGTGGCTCAGTCGGTTGAGTGTCTGACTTCGGCTCAGGTCATGATCTCACAGTTTGTGAGTTCAAGCCCTGCATTAGGCTCTGTGCTAACAGCTTGGAGACTGGAGCCTGCTTCAGATTCTGTGTCTCCCTCTCTCTCTGCCCCTCTCCCACTCACACTCTGTCTCTCTCTCTCTCTCTCAAAAATAAACAAACATTAAAAATAAAAAAATAAAAAGAATTAAAGTGAAATAAAACATTTTTAGATAGATAAAAGAGTGTTCAGATCTATTCAAAGAAAATTCCAGAGGATGTTCAGACCAAAGGAACTGGAAAATATGAAGAGCAGAAAAAAAAGGTAGTAAATATATAGGCATTTCTAAATGTACACTGACTATATGAAACAATGTTTTTGTGAAGTTTAAAATATAGAGAATGAAAAGTTGGGAAAGGTAAATGAGAGGTCCTCATAATGCCACAAAAAGAAAAAGTTATTTATTAATATAAATTAAAGATAAATGTTGTTTCCATTTATGTTTAAAGTAACAACTAAAAAAGAAGGTATAGTTTCCAAACAAGAAAAGGGAATTACACACACTTAAAAAACTATCAATCCAAAGAAAAGAAAATTAGAGAAGAAAAAAATAAAATATTTAAAGATAGATAGTAGGGCACATGAGTGGCTCAATTGGTTGAGTGTCCAACTCCTGATTTCAGCTAAGGTTATGATCCCAGGGTGGTGGGATTGAGCCCAGCACTGAGCTCCACATGGAGTGTGAAGCCTGTTTAGGATTCTCTCTCTCTCTCTCTCTCTCTCCCTCTGCCCCTCTCCCCT